CGTTTGGCGTTAGCACAAAGTTCACGTTGATGAAGTCTAAAAGACATCCTCCAACTTTTCGGGCGAAGCCGGGCTCAGTTTTCGTTCGTCAGAGCTGGGACTCAGTGTTGCAAACGCCTTAAGTTAACACTAAGAATAACGGTTTATTTTTTTTTCTTTGTGATATATATATGCCCACTGCGAGCAAAATGTAAAATATAGATGCATATTGAAAGGTGTGTTTAATTCTCTTATAATCGAGTGTGTGTGTGTGTGTCTGTTAAGATGTGTTAATAACTCCTTGATTTCGTGTCAACTTGAGGTTTTTACAAGAATGAGTCCCAGCTCTGACGAGGTTCGTCATGTGGCGAATGAAAGCTCAGCCCATCTTCGCCCGAAACGAGGGAGTACGTCTCGTGAACTGCATCAACCTGAACGTGGTATTAACGCCAAACGGCTGCGATACAATGCGAATCAGCCAACGTCTTCTGGTTAAATTGACCCACGAATCTCTTCATTATGTACCACTATACGCAACGAAAGTCCTCACATCAATTAAATATCAGTCCATTATCACCTTAAGTGACCTAGGGCGAATACAGTTCTTATTCAAGATCTACTGGTAGTCTTGAAAGACGTAAATTGGAGTACATTTGAATGGCTTCATGAGACCTACTCATAACAATGCAGTAGAGTAGCATATCCAGTTCTCAAATGGTCGAGGATGATTTAGTTGTTATGCCACTCTTATTGTCGAATGGCTACAATGCCAGCAGGAAGATGTCACTCGCAAGCAGGCTAATAAATTTCTTATGTTTTCTATAGTAATCGACAACGTTACTTATATTCGTATTAAAGTAGGGTTTCGAGACTACCAGTAAATCAGTGTGATGAGGATGTATTCACCCTATTTCGTGTAAGGTGATGAAGGACTGGTAGTAGAATTTTCCCACAATCATATGAGTATGTATTCACCCTATTTCGTGTAAGGTGATGAAGGACTGGTAGTAGAATTTTCCCACAATGATATGAGTTTTCACCCTATTTCGTGTAAGGTGATGAAGGACTGGTAGTAGAATTTTCCCACAATGATATGAGTTGAGCTGGCCCCTATTTCGTGTAAGGTGATGAAGGACTGGTAGTAGAATTTTCCCACAATGATATGAGTTGAGCTGATCCCCTATTTCGTGTAAGGTGATGAAGGACTGGTAGTAGAATTTTCCCACAATGATATGAGTTTAGCTGACGTTTCCATTGAGTTTCACATAGCCTTGCTG